ACACACACACACACACACACACACACACACACACACACACACACACACACACACACACACACAGGGAGTCCTGCATCCTCCACCAGACTGATGTAAAACTGTCTTTGCACACAAACACACATACGAATAATGAAATTCCTACATTGGAATATAACAACTTCATGTCAAAGTGACCTTTAAAATATGATTCAGCTCTCTGTTACATTTGGGCAAAGGAGACGGAGCCTATTTGGAGCTGGATGGAACAATCAAATGCAACCGACTTCGATAAGCCGAGAAATCCATTAGTCACCCATTGGTTTGTGGACTGATGTTTTGAAGCCTCGAGTTCTCTGATAGCAGCAGACACCTGTCAATCACAGTAAGCCCCGCCCCTAAAGCATCCCCTGCTTTATGGTCTGTTTGACTCTAAATGGAGCATAATGTACTAAATGAACATCATGCTGTGTTGAAGAAGACTTGAAACTAGAGATTGAGACCATAAACTCATGTTTACAATGTTTACTGAGGTAATAAATCAAGAGAGAAGTAGAGTCATTTTCTCATAGACTTCTATACAACCAGAGGAGTCGCCCCCTGCTGGACACTAGAGAGCTTCCGATGGATTTCTGGCTTCAACTTAATGGTTCAGTAGACAGAGTCTGAAATGATTTGAAAACCTGCTGGCTCCAAATGAAAAAGAAATGACGTGTTACACGCAATCCACCGCAGTGCTTCATGTGCCCGAGAGGTGCCCGCACAGAATGCGTAGGCGCACAGCTGCAGGAGGATAAATCAGACATCACTCACCAAAAACACGCCGTGTGTTTCCTTCAAGTTTAAACTCAAATGTTGAATGCACTTCATTGATCATTAAACATTTGCAAAGCAGCGTTTGTCTTGAACGTTTATAACCTGCATTCTTTACGTTTATGAGCATCTCCTTCACATCATCTGTGATAGTTAGCATTAGTTTTAGTTAGAGTGTGTCTCTCACGTTACCTGTAGACAAGTGAAATCATCTCCAACAATTGGCTGGAATGTGGGTGTGTGTGGTAGAGTAAATAAAAAAAAACTGCGACCCCGCACGTAAAAACATTGCTCGTTAACGTTAAAAGTGGATAAAAACTCCACTGGGAACGTTTGAATTAATGAGTCGGTGATAAATGAATTGACAGTAATTATTTTCCTCCTCCTCTTCCTCCAGTCTCTCTTCCACGCTAACTCTCTCCAGAAGACTCACCAGAGCGCTTTGCAGGTCCAGCAAAAAGCTGAGGTAAACCACTGCTTTTCACCACTCTGACTGTAGACCTACTCCACTATATATATCCTGTGTTATCCTGCATACGGTATTTCTACATTCCCTCTCCTCCAGATGATGCTCCAGGCAGGTCACTACGATCCAGAGGCCATCAGAGGCTGCGCTGAGAAGGTGGCGGTTCACTGGCAGCAGCTGATGCTGAAGATGGAGGACCGTCTGAAGCTCGTCAACGCCTCCGTGGCCTTTTACAAGACGTCCGAACAGGTACACGCGTCAAACACACACACACACACATTTTCAGCGTGTTGGTGCTGTCTGGAAGCCGTCACCGACTCTTTGCGTCCGTCCAGGTGTGCAGCGTGTTGGAGAGCCTGGAGCAGGAGTATCGTCGCGATGAGGACTGGTGCGGCAGCCACGATAAACTGGGAATGACGGCCGACTGCGAGCACCTTCTGCCTCTGATCAGTAAACACCTGGAGCAGAAAGAAGCCTTCCTCAAGGTGATTCCTCTCTCAGGAATCACCTCACATCAGGAAAACAGGCAGCTGCTTAAATCTGCAAATGACCTTTGGCTGATTGAATCAATGACGATGTGCAAATGACATTTTTTCACACTTGCCTAGATAAAATGCTAATGTAACTGGTGAGAATAGTGAGAGTTCGTTGGTTTAAGCACCATGTCCGTGTGCTGCAGGCGTGCACTCTGGCCCGGAGGAACGCCGAGGTGTTTCTGAAGTACATCCACAGGAACAACGTCAGCATGCCTGGAGCCGCCGGTCACACCAGAGGGCCCGAACAACAGGTCAAAGGTCAGTGCTGCTGACAATGTGATTATGACAGACAAAATCAGATCAAATATTTCTGGAAAGCTTTGTTTTAGATGTGTACTGATTTTAATTTACAAAGGAATTATTCAATTAAATAAAATGTCATTTTATTTCATATGATTTTATTTATTTATTTTTATTTGCACACACATAACACTTGATATAATCCTGATAATGAAAAAAGAAGATAAACTAAAATAGATGACAACAAGAAGCATACAAAATAAGGTAGTTGAATCATTGCATACATAATGTTACTACATACTTAACGTGTCTGCAGTTGGGAGCACATTGTGGGATTAGGGAGGAAGTGCATGTTGTAATGTAACTGTTGTGTGTTTTTGTGTGCAGCCATTCTTAACGAGCTGCTGCAGAGAGAAAACAGAGTCCTTCACTTCTGGACGTTAAAGAAACGGAGGCTGGACCAGTGTCAGCAGTACTTGGTGTTTGAACGCAGTACCAAACAGGTCTGTGTGTGTGTGTGTGTGTGTGTGTGTGTGTGTGTGTGTGTGTGTGT